ATTATTGCTTTTACATCCTCTATTGGGGTGTAAAAGCAATCAGTGTAAAAAAAAAAAAAAAAAAAATCTTCACCCTCCACAAGTAGTACAGTGTCACCATGGTGACACTGTACTGCTAGGGTGACAGTATGTTAAAAAAAGAAAACCCCAAAAAACACATAAATAATATAAAAAATTTTAAAAATTGTAATTTTTGGTTATAAACTAATTTGGCTTATTTTTTTTTTTTTTTTTTTTTTTTTTACTAAAAAGATAACTGAATAAATTTTGGCCAAGATTTATGATGAAATATTATTTATTTGCAAAATTTTATAAGAAAAACACTTTTTTTCAAAATTTTTGGACATTTTCATTTACATAGCAAAAAAAATAAAAATCCCAGCGGTGAATAAATACCACCAAAATAAAGCTTTATCTGTCTCAACAAAATGGTAAAAAAATTCATATGGGTACAGTGTTGCATGACCGCGCAGTTGTCATTCAAAATGTGATAGCACTGAAAGCTGAAAATTGCCCTGGACAGGAAGGGGGTAAAAGTGTCCGGACAGGAAGTGGCTAAAAACAACAGACTGTCCTGCAGATGTAGCAGTTAGAGGGTTGAGACAAGCCATTTACCATTGGTTTGGCTGAAGTTGGGGTTTAATACATAAACTAGTGACCACATAAAAGTTGCTTTTGCCTTGGAAGTGTGGTCACTAATGCTAAAGAGCCCCTGTTTCTGCAAAGCCCCTTCATCTGTATCCAGTAGCCGGCACGGAGTCGCTTTGGAATCAGTATGCTGGGAAGAGCGGGTATAATGGAGCGAATGCGATTAGAAACACATCATTTAGCTTTTAGGATGTTTACACGCTATGATTGAGCAGAGTGCCAGTGTTAATTGGATGCGTTTGGCGGTTTGGTCACATGATCTTACAGTGTGTGCATTTTGTAAACGGCGATCTCTTTCCCTGTATCTATTGCAGTGTCATCATTTTTTTCTTTTTGATTTTGTGGCTTGTCATGCTGCATTATCCTGCTCATCATAAATAGTGTATCAGCCCATATAATGTATACAGGACGTAATGTGTGTGTATTGTCCAGGGACTACACTGGGGTCCCAATCTACTTGTCCCGCATGACAATCTACTTGTTCAGAGAAAAAAAAATAATCTATTTTTCTCCAAAACTGTCTTTAAATCTGATGTGCGTTCAGAATGTCTGGGACTTTTAGAATCAAAAGGGGCTCTATGGCGACTTAAACGTTTAATTTTGTTTAACATTGCGCTGTATTAATATTATTATTATTATTATACAGGATTTATATAGCGCCAACAGTTTGCTCAGCGCTTTACAATATAATGGGAGACAATACAGCAACAACAATACAGTTCAATACAAGGGTTAGGGGTTAGGAGGGCCTGATCCTGGGAGCTTACAAACTAGGAGGGAGGGGCTAGTGGTACAAAAGGTAGTAACTGTGGGGGATGGATTGGTTGGAAGAGTAGAAGATTCCATTATTAGCTGACGGCAGGATAGGCTTCCCTGAAGAGAGAGGTTTTCAGAGATCGCCTAATCGTGAGCAGAGTAGGCGATAGTCTGATAAATTGGGGTAGAGAGTTCCAGAGGATGGGGGAAGCTCTGGAGAAGTCTTAGAGAGGAGCATGGGAGGAGGAGACAAGGAATCTAGAGAGCAGGAGATCGTGGGAGGAGCGGAGAGTACGGTTTGGGTGATATTTGGAGACAAGATCGGTGATGTAATTTGGGGCAGAATTATAAATGGCTTTATATGTTATTGGTAATGTTTTGAATTTTATCCGTTGGGCAATGGGAAGCCAGTGGAGGGATTGGCAGAGAGGGGTGGAGGACACTGAATGGAAGCCAGTGGAGGGATTGGCAGAGAGGGGTGGAGGACACTGAATGGAAGCCAGTGGAGGGATTGGCAGAGAGGGGTGGAGGACACTGAATGGAAGCCAGTGGAGGGAGCAGGAGGGGTGGAGGACACTGAGTGGAAGCCAGTGGGGGATTGACAGAGAGGGGTGGCAGATATGGAATGGTTAGTAAAGTGGATGAGTCTGGCAGCAGCATTCATGATAGACTGAAGAGGGGATAGCCTGCGATGAGGTCGGCCAATGAGGAGGGAGTTACAATAGTCAAGGTGAGAGATAACCAGGGAGGGAATAAGTTGCTTAGTGATTTCCGAGGTTAGGAACGGCGTATCTTGGAGATGTTACGGAGGTGAAGTCTACAAGATTTATACAGCGATTGGATTGGATATCTCCTCCTCCCCTCCCTGCATATCTCCAGCACTGCAATGTAAAACAAAAAGCACACCAACCTTGTGCATTACCTCAATACAAAACTGATTTTATGAACATGAGATATATATATACTCACAAACAAAGCAGTAAAACAAGCGTATAAGATCCTGAAAGGAACATTGAAGTGCAAGACCAATGCGAGGCACATCAAGGGGGGAGACTGTAAGTTCTGCTGACGCGTTTCGAAGGGGGTCCCTTCTTCCTACAGAGCTCCAAGGAAGAAGGGGCCCCCTTCGAAATGCGTCAGTAAAACTTTGGCACCGTGGTGGACTTTGTGAAGGGAATCGGGCGGCAGCAGTGCCATCCAAATGCTTTCACTTTACAGGTGAGCTCTGCTGCTTGACTACAGCAGGGCTAACGTGTCGGACGATACAAATTCAACATCCCTGTGTAAGTTTTATATATTTATTGCCCTCTTATCACTTACAATAGTTTGTGTCGCCAGCCTTTCAGAATGTGTTCCAGCATCCATTTATATGCATTCCAAAGCTGGCAGGTGTGCATGGAAAACCGGGATATGCTGTATATCCACTTGAAGACCCACTAACGTACATATACATTACGGGTTTCAATTGGGATATCGGAATGATGCCTGCAGTTGCATCGTCCCAATATCGTTTCTTTTTGCTGGTGGTCAGCTTTTTTGTAAAAGCCATCCAAGCAGCTATTAGTTGCTTGATTGATTTTACAGGTGACAGGAGGGGTTGCATGCCCCACCCCCCCTTCCCCTCCAGCTGCCCGCCGGTGCCTCTGTGGGGACTCCATCCCACCTGAGAACCAGGTACTGAGGCTGGCGATTTCACAAGCTTACCATAGAGCCCTTGGAGGACAGGAAGGTCTTCGGTGAGCTATGTGGTATATGAAGCTGGAAGCGACGAGTGCTGTTGTAACTTCTTGTTTGCCCGGAAGTAAATGGCGCCATTTTTAAATCTGGAGAGTAATTGATCATCAATCATGATGTGATCAGATCCTTTTAGGGAAGAGAACAGGTCTGGGGTCTAATCCCCACATCTTTCCATAAAGAGTACCTGTCACTGCCTATTGCTGTCACAAGTGATGTTGACATTCCTTGTGAAAGTAATACAAATTATTAAAAAGATGAAAGAAAAAAAAGAATGTAAAACAGAGTGTAAAAAAAGGAAAACAATTTAAAGTGCCCTCATTCTCGCGTGCAAAGACAAACACACACGTTGGTTCCACACTCCTACATAAACAGCAATTGCACCACACTTGGGAGGTATTGCCATGAATGCAAGAGCAATAATTCTAGCACCAGACTACCTCTGTAATTCTAAACTGCTAACCTGTAAAGGCTTATAAATTGTTATAAAATGGAGATTTTTAAATACTTCATTTTGCTCACCCGTGCAGACCTGTAGCAGTATTTCTGCTATAGAGTGGATGGGAAGCGGTTAAGTGGATATTATCTGCTTAGTGACCGTCTGCCCGCAATATACTGTGAATGGGCGGCTGCTGTAGGCAAAGCGACATACCCGTGCGTCACTGCCTGCTTCTGGATTTCATCATTTTTGTGATTGTGCACAGTGGGAGCCTGTTGGAAATCGCTAACATGGGCGGCCAGCGGGAAGAATGCGACCTCTTCCATTGGGCGGCCAGCGGGAAGAATGCGGCCGCTTCCATTGGGCGGCCAGCGGGAAGAATGCGGCCGCTTCCATTGGGCGGCCAGCGGGAAGAATGCGGCCGCTTCCATTGGGCGGCCAGCGGGAAGAATGCGGCCGCTTCCATTGGGCGGCCAGCGGGAAGAATGCGACCGCTTCCATTGGGCGGCCAGCGGGAAGAATGCGACCGCTTCCATTGGGCGGCCAGCGGGAAGAATGCGACCGCTTCCATTGGGCAGCCAGTGGGAATTTCTGACACATGTCTTATTCCTTGCTCTAGTTGAGATCTTTCTCCTGAGATCAGCCCCCCCACCCCCACTGCCATAATCTTCCAGTGTGACAGGGGTTAATAGAATCAAGGGACCTGCCATATGCACTCATCAAGAGTGCCAACTATGGCTGCTTTTTCCACCCCCCTCTCCTGCAATCATAGAAGTTGCACTACAGGTTATATGAATGAAATGTGATCGATGAATGGATAACAGGTGGATGAATGAAAGGTTAGCCTCCTCAATCCATAGATCCCATTTAATTCATAGAACCTGTAGCACAACTTCTTTGAATCGAGGAGGGGGCGGAAAGGTTGGGCTTAGTTTCTCTTGGTGAATGCATATGGTAGGTTAACCAATGCTGCGCTGGAAGATTAACAGAGTCAAGGGACCTGCCATATGCACTCAAGAGTGCTGGATATTTCTGCCCCCCTTCATTCATAACCATGCTACAGCATCTATGAATACAACATGGTTTGTGAATGGAGGAAGTGGACTTTTTTTATTAATTCGCCCGTCCTCCACTCATAGATTGAGTTTCATTCATACAAGCTATAGTACAGCTTCTGTGAATGGAGGAGGAAAGGACAGCCATAGTTGGACACTCTCGTGGAGTTCATATCACAGGTAGCTGACAGGACGCACCGTCAGATTACTAAAGCAGGAGCCATCAGCACATGGGACACATCGCACTGCTAACAACATCTCTTGTGATCATTTATTTTAATTTAAACTTTGCTTTTAAGATAGACACCTTACCTTTCATTAATTTTTTCCTCTTTTTTTACATTTTTCAACTATCTCTTTTACCTTAGGCCGTGAAAATCAGCTCGTGGCTTTGATACCGTACAGCGACCAGAGGCTGCGTCCGAGAAGAACGTAAGTCAAGTCAGTTTGGACAAATCGAAAATATCAGTTTGGAGTTTGAAAAAGCTAACGGTGTCATCACTGCTGATGAATGATGTTTATCATTTTCTCCAAATGTAGTTTCAACAACCTTTCACATCAGTTGTAATTTAGAGAAATGTGCAATCTATAATTGGGATAAATTTCTGAAAACCATACTCTTCTTGATTCCCAATCCCCTGGATTGCACAATTCGCTGCAGATCAGAGAGCATCAGAAAATTGGTGAATGTGTTGATCTCAATTTCTGCTGATCTTTTAGCCCCACCACAGTCCTACAGATGTAGCAATGGGGCCAGTTTGGTTGGATGACGATTATCCTACCACAATGTGTTTGGATGAGGATGGAAAACCCAGCCAAATAGACAAAACCCATTACTGGCAGATAGAGTTCCTTGTGGGAATTGAACATAGAACCCCAGAGGTGCAAGGCAAGAGTGATAATTGAAGGCCAGTTTGTATGAAACCGTAAAGGACTGTTCAACTTGTCCAGCTAAGTACACTCCAGGTGCAATAAACCAACTAAATGTGTACAAACTCTTACATTAAAAAAAACAGCGACAGCCTGAGTAGAAAAGCCTGACCTTTGCCAGCATGCTGCAGAGAAGGATCCTTGCTCTCTGTGTGGTAACAGTAGTTTCTCTACTGTGTCAGTGCCAGAAGTCCCTTGTCATCTGTTCCAATCCCAACCAGGACACAGTCTGCATGACGTTTGCATGTTCTCCTTGTGCTTGCATGGCTTTTCTGCGGGTACACCGTTTTTCTCCTTGTCAGAGTCTCCTTTGGTACCTTGGCTTCCTACATGTGCATTTGTCAATTTCTTTTGGGAACTGCAGTTTTCTTGTATAGATTTACTCTCTGGTTTCCTCCTTGTGTTTTGTGTCGGTTTCCTCCAGGTACCCTGGTTACCTCCTTGCGCTTGCATGGTTTCCTTCCTGTGCATGCATGAATTTCCTCTGGGTTATCCAGTTTCTTTGCATGGATTTCATCCCTGTGTTTACATGGGTTTTCTCCAGAGAACCTGGCTTCCTCCCTGTGCTTGCATGGGTTTCCTTCAGGTACCTTGGCTTCCTCCTTATGCTTGTGTGGGTTTCCTCTCGGAACCCTGGATTCTACCTGTGCCTGCATGGATTTTTTGCTGGGTTATCCAGTTTCTTGCATGGATTTCATCCCTGGCTTCCTCCCTGTGCTTGCATGGGTTTCCTTCAGGTACCTTGGCTTCCTCCTTATGCTTGTGTGTTTCCTCTCGGAACCCTGGATTCTACCTGTGCCTGCATGGATTTTCGCTGGGTTATCCAGTTTCCTTGCATGGATTTATTCTTGGCTTCATCCCTGTTCTTACATGGGTTTCCTCCGGAGAGCTGGCTTCCTCCCTGTGCTTGCATGGGTTTTCTCCAGGTACCTTGGATTCCTCCTTATGCTTGTGTGGGTTTCCTCTCGGAACCCTGGATTTCTCCCTTTGCTTGCAAGGATTTTCTCTGGGTTATCTGGGTTCCTTGCATGGATTTCATCCCTGTTTTGCTCCTTCTGCTTGCTTTTGGCTTCCTCTGGGTACTCTGGTTTCCTCCCTGTGCTTGCATGGGTTTCCTCCTGGTACCCTGGCTTCCTTTCTGTGTTCCCTAGCTTCCTCACTGTTTTGCATGGGTTTCCTCCAAGTACCTTGGTTTTCTCCCTTTGCTTACATAGATTTCCTCTGGGTTATCTGGGTTCCTTGCATGCATTTCATCCCTTTTTTTGTTTTTTTTGTTTCTCCTTTTTGTGCTTGTGTGAATTTCCTCTGGGTTATTCAGTTTCCTTCATGGATTTCATCCCTGGTTTTCTCCTTGTGCTTGCTTTGATTTCCTCCAGGTACCCTGTTTTCCTCCCTGTGCTTGCATGGATTTCCTCTGAGTTATCCAGGTTATCCTTGCATGGATTTCAACCCTGGTTTTCTCCATTGTGCTTGCTTTTGTTTCCTGGTTTTCCTCCATGTTTTGTGTGTGTTTCCTCCAAGGTACCTTGCTTTTCCTCCTGTGCTTGCATGGATTTACTTCTACTTATCTGGGTTCCTTGCATAAATTTCATCCCTGTGCTTGCTTTTGGCTTCCTCTGGGTTCTCTGGTTTCCTCGCTCTGCTTGCATGAGTTTCCTCTGGGTTATCCGGGTTCCACGATTACATTTTATCCCTAGTTCTCTCCTTTTTTGCTTGTGTGAACTCCCTCCGGGTATCCCGGGGTCTTCCCCGTGTTTGTATGGGTTTTTCTCCGGGTATCCTGGTTTCTTCCCCGTGCTTGTATGGGTTTTCTCCGGGTATCCTGGTTTCTTCCCTTCGCGTGTGTATTTGCTATGGACACCCCAGTTTCCTGCCTTTTTGCTTCTTTGTATTTCCTCCTGGTACTCCCAGTTTCCTTCAACATGCTGGTAGGTTAATTGGATCCTGTCTAAATTGGATGTAGATGTGTAAAGGACCTTAGACTGTAATCTCATCGAGGACAGAGACTGATATTAATGTACAGTATGTAGTGTCTTGCATAAATTGCCAGTGATCTAAAAATACCTATAATTAAAAATAAATGTATTTATTACATGTACTTCTATAGCGCCATCAATTTACGCAGCTCTTTTATATTATATATATATATATATATATATATATATATATATATATATATATATATATATATTTTAATACATTCACATCAGTCCCTGCTCTCAAGGAGCGTACAGTCTAAGGTCCTTAACCCACATTCATGGGCCAATTCAGGGCCAATTTAGACAGGAGCCAATTAACCTACCAACATTTTGAGTGTTGGCGGAAACTGGAGTACCCAAGGGAAAGCCGTGCAGGGAGAACATGCAAACTCCAAGCAGGTAGTGCCATGGTTTGTATTTGAACCAATGACCCTGGTGCTACCCGTTGGAAGTGCTAACCACGTAGCCATGAATATTGCAGAGATTTAGTACTTCTTCTTTCTTTTTTTTTTTTTTTTTTAAAGTCCAGCCATACACATTAGGGAAAAAGAGACTACCTAGCAATACTAATTGTAGAAATGCTTGGTGGTTTCTGGTCTGTCCCAATCAGTTTGTGTTTCTGCTTTCTTGTGTCACTGCACCCCGTGCTTTTCATAAGAAACATCTTCTACAGGAAATGCAGCTTTGTGGTTCTACATGTGGGTAAAAGATAACTTCTGCACGAACTAATTTTGGCTGTTTTAAACATGTCAGCAATTTAAAGCCCAACCCTGGCCACAATAAGCTTTTAAAACACATTTAAAAGATTAACTAAGGGACTAAATTCGGGTCCAAATCTACATGTCACTCATGACAATCTACTTGTCTTGAAAAAAAAAAAAAAAAAAAAAGGAAGGGTTGATGTTTTTATTAGACAGCGGTGCTTTTAGCAATATCTGGGCTTTCAAAAAGGAAAGGGGCTTTATAACGACTTCAATGTTTTCAGTCACTTGCCCTCCACTCTATAGCAGATGTACTGCTACAGGGCGGCATGGCTGCGCAAAAGTCATGTATGTAAATTTTTGGGTAGGGGGGGCGCGCGCGTGCCGCTATTGACTTCTCGGTGATCGTCTGCAAAACTGACAGAGAGACCTGTGTGTAAACAGTACAGGTTTCTCTCCTGTCAGCATGGATATGCTGCTTTGTTTCTTTTCTGCACAGCAGAGAGATACAAAGCAGCATGTAAAAAACATGCAGCATTATTTTCGCATAGGATTACTATTCACAGGAGTTTTTGCATTAATCAATGGGAGGTGTTTTTGCCACTGAAGTCGATGGGAGGTGATTATGCATTGAAATCAGTGGATGTGTTTTTGCATTGAAGTCAACGGGAGGCAGTTGTGAAGAGAGAGGCAGCTAAATCGCACCTGTGCTGAAATCACACAAAAACCACAATGAAATTGCGATTTCAGTAAACATATGTGAGAACCCAGGCTAAAGAAACTGCTTGTCCATAATTTAAAAAAAACAAAAAAACAAACCCACCTGCCCAGCGCCTGGAACTCCATGTCCTGGGCGTCGGTCAATATGATTTGTGCATCCCTGTTTTAGCTGCTGGCTTTTAACAAAAAGACACTTAACAGTCCAGGATACCAGTGCTGTCTTTACTGGAGCCAATCCTTTGCCGGGTTTTGAATCCTCAGCATCCGCATCCTGGATGTGGGAGTCGGCTGTGAGTTCCAGCTGTGTCAGAACCAGAAGTATCACAATCAAATAGACGAGCTTATGAAGTCAGTAAAAGCAACCTAGCACAAGAATAAAAAATGTATGCAGTATCTACGGTAATGCAAATTTTTTTTTTTTTTTAATTTTTGGAAGACAATATCGCCAAAAAGAGAGCCTTGTTAAAAATGTATTTTTTTTTATTACTTTTATCTGTAAATTATTATAATTAATGATAGTTATTTTGAATGAGAATAGAAATGTCGATGAGGAAGAAGGGGAACGGAATAAAGGGGGAAGTTATGGATATGGACTATAAGAACATAAAAATTAAGGAATTAATGTCTAGGTGCTAATTTATCTACTTTGTTATATATCTTTTATTTCTGTGTTTTTTGAGTTGTGCTCAGATCTCTAGGTTATGGTTCTGTGAATTATTTTATCCTTTTTAATGTTCATTCCTGTAACTTTAGCAATGTTTTTTTTTTTTTCTTTTTTTTTTTCTCAACAGAAAACTCTATGTGACGGTTTCCATCGTTGTATGTTTACTACTTTCTGGCCTGGCAGTGTTTTTCCTTTTCCCACGTTCCATCGACATTGAGTACGTTGGTGTTAAGGCAGTCTATGTGGCTTATCAAGAATCCACTAATACTGTGTTTCTCAACATCACAGTAAGTCAGCTATGGGTTTTAAAGTAAATCTTTGCTATGCGGCTTTATCCATGCCAGATCCTGATAAATTCTTCCAAAATGTTCCGTGCGATAAAAGTTATACTCGCGTACTAAATGTATGGGAATGTAAACTGTGTATTGAAATGCTGGAAGGCTCTGGATAGGGTTGGGTTTCACTGGTGGTGGGAGGGACAGTGTTCTGGAGTGTGTTAGGGGACAGAGACTTGGCAATCCTATAAGGGATGAAGTTTCTGGAGGTGGCTGGATTTTCTCCAGAAAGCTGGAGGCTTTGCAGGGGTTAGCAGGCACTATGGGACACTGTTGGAAATTGGGGCACAATAAGAAGCATCAGGCTGGGGGGCACTGGAGACTCTGCAGGAAGCTAGGAGGCACTGTGGGACAAGTTTAGAGGTTGGGGCACATTAGAGAGATGAAGGTTCTACAGCAAACTGGGCACTGAGGGGGCCGAGGGCTCTCAGGAGGCCAAGGGACACTTGTCGTGGGGTTGCAAGGTACTGCAGGCAGTTTTGGGGAGGTTGGGGTCACTGTGAAAGCTGAGAGGCTCGGGAGGAGGGAGGCCGCAACCCAGCACTGGGCCACAGCCCAGTGGTTGAGGACCATTGATCTACGCCATTACTAAATTTTTCCTTTTTTTTTTTAATACATTTTTTTAGAATACACTGAATATAACCAACAACAATTTCTACCCGGTAGAAGTTGACAATGTTACCGGTCAGGTTCAGTACTATAAAACAGTTATTGGGAAGTCGAAATTAAACAACGTGACGAAGATCGGACCGCTGGATACAAAACAAGTAAGCCACACAGCTTGTATCTTACGATGCTTAGTGAAGAATCTGTTCTGGAGAATTGTTCTTTACTTCTTCTTTCTAACTCCTACTTCTAGATTGACTACATGGTGCCGACCAAAATAGGAAAGGAATTTGACTACATGTAGTAAGTATTCATTTTCTTGACCTACCGCTTCTCTGCTTATGCTAGGGTTGGATATACGTAAAATAAAATTCTCGCAGATTCTGTCCTACTTAACATCCAAGAACCATATATTTATGTTTAAATACACGTATTAACCTCTCCAGTGATACCGTATAGAAATGTGAAGCAAATCCTTTTATTCCTTGCTTTCCAGCTTCTCTGCTCCTCCTTAGACAAAAGCCCAATTTGTGAGCATTTCTAACATTGAGCTCATTTGCCACCACACCTTGTTCATTGAGCGGGAGGCACTGTGGCACACTATTGGAAGCAGGTTCCTTAGTTCACCTTCTCTGTTTCTTTGATGACTAGGATGCAGGTGGCCGGGTGCAGAGTGTCATTCGTTGTTATGGTGCAGACAGCCCAGCTGCTTGCATCTTAGCAACAGTGACACTGTGTAGCTCATCTGCCTGCATCCTAGAAACGGGTGACATTGTGTGGCCCTGCCTTCTAGCAACCAATAAAAAGATAGAGGGGGTGGAAGAGGGGAACTGACACACACCTCACTCTGCAACCCTAGTGATGATATTTGACCTAGTGAGAAACATCTGGTTCTTAAGACCGGTCATATCAATAACAGTCATTTAAACATTTTGTCCTCTTAGATAGATGCATGATCAGACGGGTTGGGGGAGAAGGGCATTACTAGTATAAAAAAAAATAAAAATTCCATTCTATATGCCGCCATTTGTAGACGCTATATCTTTCACGTAAACCAATTAGTATAAATTTATTGGGGGGTTTTTTTAGCAGACATGTGGCAGAATACATTTTGGCCTAAATTATGAAGACATTTTTTTTTATTTTTTTATTGAATGTTTTATAGTAAAAAGTAAAAAAATATATATATATATACAGTGGGGATCGAAAGTTTGGGCACCCCAGCTAAAAATTTGTATTAATGTGCATAAAGAAGCCAAGGAAAGATGGAAAAATCTCCAAAAGGCATCAAATTACAGATTAGACATTCTTATAATATGTCAACAAAAGTTAGATTTTATTTCCATCATTTACACTTTCAAAATAACAGAAAACAAAAAAATGGCGTCTGCAAAAGTTTGGGCACCCTGCAGAATTTATAGCATGCACTGCCCCCTTTGCAAAGCTGAGACCTGCCAGTGTCATGGATTGTTCTCAATCATCGTCTGGGAGGACCAGGTGATTTCAAGCTCAAAGGTTTTAAATGCCCAGACTCATCTGACCTTGCCCCAACAATCAGCACCATGGGTTCTTCTAAGCAGTTGTCTAGAAAACTGAAACTGAAAATAGTTGACGCTCACAAAGCTGGAGAAGGCTATAAGAAGATAGCAAAGCGTTTTCAGATGTCAATATCCTCTGTTCGGAATGTAATTAAGAAATGGCAGTCATCAGGAACAGTGGAGGTTAAAGCAAGATCTGGAAGACCAAGAAAAATATCAGACAGAACAGCTCGCAGGATTGTGAGAAAAACAATTCAAAACCCACGTTTGACTTCACGATCCCTCCAGAAAGATCTGGCAGACACTGGAGTTGTAGTACACTATTCCACTATAAAGAGATACTTGTACATTCTTTTTTTTTTTTTTTTTTTTTTCAAATTTTTTTTTTTTTTTTTTTTTTTTATAGCGCAAAAAATAAAAACAGCAGAGGTGACCAAATACCATCAAAAGAAAGCTCTATTTGTGGGAATAAAATTACATAAATTAAAATTGGATGCAGCGTTGCATGACCGCACAATTGTCAGTTAAATTAACGCAGTGCTGTATCGCAAAAAAATGACCTGGTCAGGAAAGGGGGGTAAATCCTGTTGAGGACAAGGGGTTAACACTGCACTGTTTATCTCCACCTCACCTCCCTGCCTGTCTTCAGCACCGCAATTGGGGACTAGCAGGGAGGGGGAGACCCTGCAGTGTGATGAGCACTCATTGGTGCTCCTCAGGCAATGGAAGTGTTGGGCTCTTTTAACGCTCATCTGCTTAGTGAATAGATGAGGCGCCGGCCCCAATGAGGGGAAAAAAAAAACTTTATTCCTTCAGGTTACCCTCACACTTGGATGCACTTGAGTGCTCAATACTAGCGCCTGCTGGGCAGCCAAATGAAGCTCCAGTATCCGCTCCGTTAGGCCCCGTTTACACCTGGGCATTTTGCGGAATCACTCTGATTCTGCCGGCATTCTCAAAACGCAGTACAATTGCAAAATGCAGGGTGTCCTCTTGTTAGATGCATGATCAGACGGGTTGGGGGAGAAGGGCATGTTGTTGACCATGCTATCTCAGCCATTGCACAGCTTTAAAAGACGGGACAAAGTGCTGCATACTCTTTATTGTCTGGGGGACGGGAACAACATTAAACATCCAAATCTGTATAACTGTAAGACCTGTGTGGGGGTTCTGTAAACTTCAAGGCTGTTGCTTTTCTGAGCTCACTGGGCTTATGTTATATGGCCAGATTTTTGCTACGCATGACGCTATGGCTTCTGGGCCTCTGGACCTCATCTGCAGCGGGAAGACGAATTACTTGTTTTTGCTGCCAAAAGTTATGGTGGATTAGCAATGCTCATTATCAGGGAGAACTGGCCTGAGCACTCTCACCATCCTGGCCGGGTTTATTAATGCATTTTGTATTTCTTGTTACATACTTGTTGAAACTTGACTTTTTTTTGGTCCATTGCACAATGCATTTCATTTATAGAAGAATTCTTTCTCGCTTCACAGCACCTACTGCACCCTGCCAAGCATCAAAGTTCACAACATAGTGGTGAATATGCAGTAAGTATCTCTCCAGCATGCTCGCTGTCTTGCTTGCTTCTCTCTTGTTCTCTATTGCTCGCCCCCCCCCCTCTCGTTCTCTGTTGCTCGCTCGCCCCCCCTCTCGTTCTCTGTTGCTCCCCCCCCCTCTCTCGTTCTCTGTTGCTCGCCCCTCTCTTGCTCTATGTTGCTCGCCCCTCTCTTGCTCTATGTTGCTCGCCCCTCTCTTGCTCTATGTTGCTCGCCCCTCTCTTGCTCTATGTTGCTCGCTCGCCTCTCTTGCTCTATGTTGCTCGCCCCTCTCTTGCTCTATGTTGCCCGCCCCTCTCTTGCTCTATGTTGCCCGCCCCTCTCTTGCTCTATGTTGCCCGCCCCTCTCTTGCTCTATGTTGCTCGCCCCTCTCTTGCTGTATGTTGCTCGCCCCTCTCTCGCTCTATGTTGCTCGCCCCTCTCTCGTTCTCTGTTGCTCGCCCTCTCTCGTTCTCTGTTGTCTCGTTCTCTGTTGCTCGCCCCTCTCTCGTTCTCTGTTGCTCGCCCCCCCTCTCGTTCTCTCGTTGCTCTGTTGCTCGCCCCCCTCTCGTTCTCTGTTGCTCGCCCCCCTCTCGTTCTCTGTTGCTCGCCCCCCTTCTCGTTCTCTGTTGTTCTCGCCCCCCCTCTCGTTCTCTGTTGCTCCCCCCCCCCCTCTCGTTCTCTGTTGCTCGCCCCCCTCTCGTTCTCTGTTGCTCGTCCCCCCCTCTCGTTCTCTGTTGCTCGCCCCCCCCCTCTCGTTCTCTGTTGCTCGCCCCCCCTCTCGTTCTCTGTTGCTCGCCCCCCCTCTCGTTCTCTGTTGCTCGCCCCCCCTCTCGTTCTCTGTTGCTCGCCCCCCCCCTCTCGTTCTCTGTTGCTCGCCCCCCCCCTCTCGTTTCTGTTGCTCGCCCCCCCTCTCGTCTCTCTGTTGCTCGCCCCCCCCCTCTCTCGTTCTCTGTTGCTCGCCCCCCCCCCTCGCTCTCTGTTGCTCGCTCCCCCCCCCCCCTCGCTCTCTGTTGCTCGCCCCCCCCCCTCGCTCTCTGTGCTCGCCCCCCCCCCTCGCACTCTGTTGCCCCCCCCTCGCACTCTGTTGCTCGCCGCCCCCCTCGCACTCTGTTGCTCGCCGCCCCCCTCGCTCTCTGTTGCTCGCCGCCCCTCTCGCTCTCTGTTGCTCGCCGCCCCCTCTCGCTCTCTGTTGCTCGCCGCGCCTCTCGCTCTCTGTTGCTCGCCGCGCCTCTCGCTCTCTGTTGCTCGCCGCCCCCTCGCTCTCTGTTGCTCGCCCCCCCCTCGCTCTCTGTTGCTCGCCCCACTTCTGGCTCTCTGTTGCTCGCCCCTCTCTTATAGTGTATGTGTTGGCCAGTAAGAAGGTCACCTTAACAGTTAACATTAACAGTCAGCTTATCATGTGTTTCTATATGTAGAACCAAGACTGTCTCTTAATTAGCCGCTTATACAAGAACACACAGACCCTAACTCATTAAAGCACATGTATTTACTTGTTGTGGTTTCTATGGGCTAGGATTTGTGTGCTTGTGTCCAAGGAGGTTGTTTTGCCAACTCTGAAACATGCGACTGGCTAATATTTTCTTTGGACAGGCCGCCCCAAAACCTAATGCGTTATAAGGTCAAAAGTAAGTGGACATCCCTCTAAACTACTGAGTTCAAGTGTTCCCATTGTAGGGTACTGTTCATGATATAGCAGACATTTTAGACCATTGTGCACTTCCAACCTAATGGTAATGCTTTGGTGAAGACCTTTTTCTGCTCCAGCATGACCGAGCCCCTGTGTACAATGCCAGCTCCATAAAGACACGTTTGATGAATTTGGTGTGGAGGAACTCAAGTGTCCTTCGCAAAGCCCCCAAGGTCAACCCTACTTGAACACCTTTGAGATGAAATGAAATGCCGATTGTGAGCCACGTCTTCTCATCCCGCATGGGTACAAATTCCAGCAGATACACTCCAAGATCTTGTAGAAAGCCTTCCCAGAAAATGTAAGGCTCTCTAAGAAGCTGATAACGGTCTGATGGTCAGGTCTCCACCAACTTTTGACTTCACAGTGTACGTGTTATTTCAGAGGATATAATAACTGTCCTTCTCTGGGTCATCTGCAGAGAGAAACTCTGATTTGTCTGAGGGGTGAACTTCTATTTCTCAAGTCATTTTCTAGGATACACTATGAAACGTTAAGCTGCTGCCATCGGGACAGGAAACATGTTACCCCTGCTAGAAAAAAGGTGGTCTTCAAGGCCACTGCTTCAGGTTTTTAGTGTTTCCTCTGGACAAGATGGGGGGGGCACATGTTTTCCAAGGAACCAAAGGAAGGTCCCACTGAAATTCTTCTTGGGAGAACAGGTTCATAGAACGTGGTTATGGATAAGGATTGTAGAATATAGGTGTTTGTTTAGAAAAGACAATCAGAATTTTTGAATCTTCTAAACATGTTTTTTCATCTTCTACAGAGTGACTGTCACCATTTCCTACTTGGGGCACCCGGAGCAGCTCTCCCAGGAAGTCTACCAATACGTAGACTGTGGGGGCAACGCGACGTACCGCCTCGGCCAGTCGAATCTCCCCATTTTCAAACAGCCGTAAGCTTTTCGAGGCTGCAAAGGAGGGGTTGTGCTAATTTTTGCTTTGCCGTCTCACACAGGATGGCGGGCAGTTCTTTCCGTTGTGAGCACACTGCTTAGGGGAACGGTCTGCGCTGTTATAGTAGGCTCTAACTTAGAAAGAAGGTTTCCATTTACCGAATCGCTAGGCGTGGTTCACCAAATTCAATGTGTAAATACTTCTGTACATAATAAATTAATGTACTGTATATGTCCAAGAATGCAGGTTATGTAATATGTTCTACTCATTGGCTGCTTTAAAGGATCAGCTCATCCATAAAAGTCAGTTTGTTATCATTTTTTTCTCGAGACTTCTGGATTTGGGATCTCGATTTCTATTGATATAGAAAGGGGGGAGAAAAGGCTCCCGGGGAGGTGGGGGTGGGAGAGGATGTTATATCCTTCATACCGGTGTAGGAAGAGATTATTAGAAAAAAAAAATGTGGGCACTTCGGCGCCCCAATCACCCATCCTGTTTTTAAGTGGACTGATCCTTTAAATCAGGCCTGGACAACTCAGACTGAGCATATCATTTCGATTAGTGAAAAGCGCACCTCAAAGCGATCAGCGGATAGAGATACCAGCAGCAAAAGTTATGTGCTAATCTTGATTCTCCCTGTATAATCATCTGATCTTGCCGCCACTACCTTTCCACCACCCTCCATGAGCCTCCATATTGGTCAATGAGGCTGAAAGCATATTAATATATTGCTGACCATTTAACGCTTACTTTCGGCAGCATGGAAGGTGGGCTTTAACACCCAGCTGTTGCACATATGCATTTATGATGGCATGAGGTTTGTGTGCTGAGACTGGGATCCTAGCACATCAACTGAGCTGTCACTAATAGCTCTCAATCGTGGCTTCAGATCGGAGCTAGTGTGATGGGCTCACAATAATGTGACTGTTGTCAGAGCCAATCACAGCAGCCACACAATGCAGAGGCTATGTCACCTCCTAGACATTAAAGCCCATTTAAAGGCATTGTCATTTTCATCAAGGGCCGCATCAGCATTATGGTTTCTCTCAAAGGGACCAGTTGCATCTGTAAGACTAGATGTCCTGAGCAACCCCCATCCCCCCACCACCACCATCAGATGTCAAGAGTCCCCCATCCTCCCTTACAACACAGTTTACCTTTTGCTGCTGCTGGGAAGCAGAAAGTGCAGAGTCTGGAGGAGGACCAGGGGGTGCTGTGGCGACACAGAGAGAGGCGCAGGATCTGTAGAAAGAGTTTTGTCCTCTCTGCTGCCAACTGCTGAGACAAGGTGGGGGGGGGTGCTTCAGCTGCAGAAGTGTGAGGGGCACATGAAACAGCCTGGCTAGCCAGATTTGGCCTGTGGGCCTTGCGTTTGACACGTGCGTTTTTAAAGAACTGCAGTTTCCTCATCCATTAATGGCTGGTGTGGTGGGAGTGTTGACCTTACTCCCCTACCTTGACAGCACATGGCCCAAGCACTGCACTGCACTGCACTGCACTGGAGGAGATATTATGCCACCCCATAATAGGAAGCACCAGGTATTTTTCAGTGGCGGCCACAGAAAAAAAGAGGTGTGGGGGGGGGTGAGCAATTGAGGCATGTATGAGTTGTGGTTTGGCTATACCAGGTATAGTATTTGTCCTGATTAGACAAGGTGACAGGGCCTCTTATAATGACCATTAGTAAGGCTCTGTAGGCAGGTGTGGGTGGTGCTAAATTATTATACTAAAAGCAAATACAAGACTTCTACTCGCTCAGATTCCAGCTACTATAGATCATTTTGATGTGCACTTTTCACTCTGCTTGTCCAATTGTTTTCCACATCTGCTCAGTCTGAGTTGCCCAGGTTTTTGCCAGGTTCACTTTAACACGTTCCTGCTGCCTGTATATAATAGAGGAAGTCATGCTGTAGCCGGGGCATTATTCAGACCGTACAGCCAATCCTCTCACTAGGATGACCACCATAGGTTGCACTAAGACCTGGTGAATTAAAGTCGATCGAAACCCAAAAAATGTTATATATTGCAGCTTACCAGTCCTTGGATGTGGTAGCTGCATTAGTTTTACGTTTTTCAGGTGCGTTTTGGTCAAGTACAGAAAATCTGTTGATCTTGCCAGAAATGTGGTGTCCTTGTCACTTCCTGCCAGCTGAAAAAGAACAAATGTCCGGTTTTTTTTTTTTTTTGGGGTTTTTTTTTGTGTGTAAACTACTAATCTCATCAGTCCATCCTGTGGCAGAGGCAGACATGTTTAAAGTCCAGCCTGTGTGACCTCCATGGCTCCCTCTGTAGATACAGTGGAGGAGTGAGCATAGCCACTCAAAAAAGGTGTGCTATTCACAGGAACTAATCACAGGATCGCATTAGTGAAAATAAAAGTTAGAAAGCCTGAAAAATCTAATGAGAAACCACATGAAAGCGGAATTTCACTCTCCCAATCAACATTGGCTATTTTTAATCCTGACACTGCTAGTATTCGTAAATAGTTAGGAAAAGTATATCATATTTGTTTGTGTTTTAAACTTTTTTTTTTTTTTTTTTTTACATTTCTTTAGTTACTTTCTGGTTTTCATACATCCCAGCAATCTTCAGAAGGGGAGGGAGGGTTCTCAACTTAGCCTATGCCTGAGCTAAGGGCAGATGGATTCCAGGAAGTAAATGATACACGAATACACGAATCATGTTCTCTTACTCAAGATGGCGATGGCCAGAAATGCCAGGGGGTTGTTTTCAGAATGATTTCTCAGCAAAATAAAGCATAGAGACATGGACGCATGGATGGGGGAGTTTGCTTTGAATACATAAAAATGATTTGAATAGCAATTTTGTGTGGTGCTCAGATGCAGTGCAGTTCCACTTTAACCACTTCCAGTCCGGACACTACCCCCCCCCCCCCCCCCCCCCCCCCCCCCCCTTCCTGTCTGTCCAGCCCAATTTTCAGCTTTCAGCGCTATCACATTTTGAATGACAATTGCGCGGTCATGCAACACTGTACCCATATGAATTTTTTAGCATTTTTTTTTTGAGACTGATCTAAAACTTTATTTTAGTGGTATTTATTCACCACTGGGATTTTTATTTTTTTTTGCTATATAAATGAAAAAGTCCAAAAATTTGCAAATAAATAATCTTTCTTCATAAATCTTGGCCAAAATTTATTCAGATATCTTTTTAGTAAAAAAAAAAAAAAAAAAAAAATTAGTTTATAACCAAAAATTATAATTTTTCAAAAATTTTTTACATTTTTATTCTATTTTTTAATATTTGTTTTTTTTAAACACTGTCACCCTAGCAGTACATTGTCACCATAGTGACACTGTACTACTTGTGGGGGGTGATGATTTTTTTTTTTTTTTTTTTTTTTTTTTTTTACACTGATAGCTTTTACACCCATAAAGTTGTAAAAGCAATCATTTCTCCTTCTCTCTGTCTGCATTCTTGCAGTCATTGAGAAATACTGTGTGAGCTGTGATTGATCACAGCTTGTCACATGGTACATGGCTGTTGTGAATGCCCTGTACCATGTGACCTCTGTGATCTTTCACAGATTTCACACGTAGTAAGCAATGATGTCAGAATCAGAAGTGACATCTTGCTTACTACTCTTCATGTGATCACTGATTGGCCGATCAGTGATCACATGATCGGGACCTCACACAGAGGTCCCGTACAGCGATCGTTGTTCCACTGTGTCCGGACACAGGCACAGGGTCGCAGTGCTGCGTGCTCCCAGAGAGTGCGCACAAGCAGGGAGACCATTTATAAACGGTCACCTGCCACTGCACTGCTCCTGTCCGGCCATTTATGTACATTGGTCGGATGGGAAGTGGTTAAGGACTTAACTGTAATATATTACATTTTTGGATTTCGATACATTACAGCTAACCAGTCTTTAGATGTGGTTTCTACATTAGGCTTTCTTCCTTTCATTTTCACCAATGTGATCCTGTGAACAGCACATCAGTTCTTGGGTGGCTACGCTCACTCCTCCACTGCATCTATGGAGGGAGCCATGAATGTCACACAGGCTGGACTTCAAACATGTCTGCCCCTGCTCATTCCCAGTACACGATGGATGGAAGAAAAATAAGGACGTTTGTTCTTTCCTTTCAGCTTGCAGGAAGTGACTAGGACACTGCATTTCTTGCAGGATCAAGGGATTTTCTGTACTTGCCGAAAATGCTCCTAAAACAAAAGGAAAGCAAATGCAGCCAGCACCTCTAAGGACTGGTTAGCTGCAACGCATTACATATTTGTCGTTAGAAATCAGCCTATTAAAGTGTATCCAAACCTCAGTGACTTCCTCCGCTGCCCATGGGTGACAGGTACATTTTATTTTTAAATTAGGCTTCCTATACCTCCTTTTTTTTCTTTTTTTTTTTTTTTTGTTTTATTTTAGCATGTAATTTAACATTTTTTGTGTTTTTTTTTTTTTTTCCTTTTGTGATGCATACAGTACTCAGTGCTACAGTCTTTTCATTTTCCTTTGTGCATCATTTGGTGTGTTACAATAAGGATTTTAATAAGTTCTGATGTTGAGCAGATAAAAGTTGTTTTAATGGGAGTTGTTCACATTTTATATACTGTTTTGGTGTGCTTAGCTTGTTTTACAGGGTATTTTTTATCTTTTATTGGATTAACCTTTTAAGTTCCTTTTATCCCACAGTGCCTGATGAGTGTAACAGCTGGTGTTTTTGTGAATACTTTCCTTATAAACTTACAGGAGACGGCGCTGCTTTCCCTCAAACACCAACGTTTAGGAAGCAGCGGAACATTTGATAGGAACATCGCCATCTTCAGGCGATAATGCAGAACTGATACGATTTATAAATGGGCCAATCAGCACAGCCATTAAAATCAAAATAAAAAATTTAGTGGTTGCAAGCTAAACACCAAGAAAGTGATTCCACCACACCTTCAATTATATATCAAACACTAGTATAGCACAACCAGGGGCGGACTGACAACTCATGGGGCCCCCGGGCAATAGGGGATCATGGGGC